CCCAGTAAGGTCACAGGGTCAAAGCCGTCAGCACAAGCGGGCCGAGTGTAAACCAGGTAACCAGATCCGGCGGATTCGCTGCCGCAGTCGATGTGCGCAGCTGAGGATCTGGCGGCCGTCCGGTAACGGCGCTCCTGACTCGTGAGGGGGTTCCTCAGCCGGACAGCATGCCAGACCTGCTTTGCTGCAGGTCGCTGGACTTTTGCCAATTTCCCCCAGAGAAGCAGAACCTCCATAGGTGCACCTGTTGCAATGAAAGACCCCTCAGTCCTGTAGTCCAGGATTGCCAAATACATATTCGCAAGCATGCAAAATATCTTGCATGGAGGCCGAACTGTAATCATGGAACTACCGATTCCGGTAGACGAATCCTAGTCCGGTCCAGAATAGCCAAAGAGTGCAATCCGGATGCACCGCAGGGGTTAAGATGCTTTGATAGTGTTGAAAGATCAGATGAGGCGTATGCCAACATGCAGTGGGGTGGTTGAATGTCCAAGCTTTCCGCTAGCTTCATTGTTTGTCACCAGTACAACTTGAATTGTATTCAAGACCCATGTAGCTGCTGCCGAAAAGTGAACCCCTGCCCCACGATGAGCTCCTGAGTTCAAGACCCGCTGAGATGTATGCGCCGCAGCCTGTCTCCTCCCATGCGAGCGGAGTCTGTATGGTGGGTTGTCTCCCCTGAAACCACAGAGATTTAACGGACGATGTCAGGCTTTACCTGGGCGTAGAGCGGAGCCACCTCTTTTTAAAATGGCCACAGTAAATTAGGGTGATCATTTGGCTTGAGGCTTTCATTGAATGTGGCTGCATATCTGCAAACTGCCAACATAATCGATCGCCTTGGATCCATCTGACCCTCAAAACCAGGTAGGAACCTAACTGAGCGACTCCCGGCGGGATTGGCGTGTTCCTTTCAAACCTCCTTCAGTTGGGAGATAATACTGAAACTAGCTTGGGAATGGTCCCAACCACATGGAATCATCAGTTTGACCCCTATCCCCTCTTTCACTTCGTCCTGCGATGAGAGTCCTCAGCTCACCAACCTCTCGGCACAGGCGTGAGCTGAAAGCAAAGCAAAAAACACAAATGCTGTGGCCGTTGCTTTTGGGGTGTAAGAAATCAGCATGTTTGATACAGTACCAACAAATCCTTCGGTCGATGGCACTTAGCCCATAAGCTGATTTGACCTATCCACGATCCGGCGACGAAATGCTGAAACTAAAAACTCACTTGTTTGAAGTTCTTCCTCCTGTTGTGGACTCTCGAAGTCTTCCTCTCAACATACTGTGCATATGTATACATATACACATCATTTAGACTACTAGGGATCACATGCCGTCTTCTCAGATGCCGATCTGTTCCTGTGTTGCCTTTTCGAGCCGCGCCTGGCAGATCTTGTTCTCGGACAAGTCCAAAGTAGCCAAAGACTTGAGGGGCGCCAGCTCCTGCACGTCCTGCAGAACGCCACCATTGATCCGAGTAGGCTTGGCCAGTGTCCACTTAGGCTTCCATTCTTTGTTGCTTCGTGCGGGCCAGCGGCAGATATGTTGGAAGTGTCTCCCAAGGAGATGCGCTCATGGAGCGGCCGAAAGGCTTGTAACCACCGCCCAAGCCCACTGCTCCCCCCAAAAAAGAAAAACAACACAAACAAAAACCAATATCACATCTTGGGACCTGAATTCGTTGGTCAGCGGCTACAAACCCAAACACATTTCCCTTCAAACCTGGTTTGGCTGCAGTGCCTGTCCTGGAGGCTCTGCTATCCAGGTACCGAGCGTAGGCTTAGTAATTCTCAGCTAATGGATGCAAGGAACAGCGAATTGGGGATGACATCGGTTGGCTTCACGTCGTCGCCGGATATTCTTCCGCTTTGGCAAACTGCAGAGCTTCCTCGTGTTGGGACTTGGGACACCAATACTTTGCCCCCACTCAACTGCAGGGCCTTTGGGCCCTCTTCCAATACCTCTTCCAGGTGGGGTCCGCCGCTGCAAGAGCACCCAAATGCGATCTCCATTAAAACTCTAGAACAACCCCAGGAGTCCAGCACACTACAAGGCAGCTCGATATTCTCAGCCAAACGCGGACGATTCAACTGCAAACCTGAGACTTGCCTTTACCTTCAGGCAGAAGTTAGAACCTGGGAGGCTCAAACCAAACACATGGCCCAACTCTCGGACTTTGGTGTTCTCAACTGGGTCCTTTGACGCGGTAGAACGGAGAACGCGCCCCGAGCTCTCCTCCAGGCGGTTGCCGGCAGCGTTGAGCAGTACCAGGCTGGATGCGATGACGTCCATGGAGGCCGGGCAGAACTGCGGGGAGCTGAGCTTTGGAGACCGGATCCCGAATCGCCAGAAGGTCTGAGTGTGTGTGTGTGTTGAACTTTTCGAGACGATGGAGCTCGACAAAGGAACGGCCTCATGGCAAAGGCCGAATACTGTACTCATCAAAATGATTCAGGCATAGTGAATAGTTGACGAAAGCCATACATGGCTTCATCCATTCAGCAGGGGGTTCAGAGGCTCCCGGCCTGCAGCGGGGCTTCTATCTGCTGATGGGGCACCAGCAATTCCTGACCCACTCTCGGATGCGTGCACACACGTCTGCTGGATTTTGCGCTAAGGGAAAGATGACACCTATGGACACTTATTCTCCATGGGCCCCGCCTCAACAGGGGCTTCATACACAGGTTTCGGTTCGATCCCATGAGAGATTTCTTCCGGGCCTTTCGATTTTGGAAGCAAGAACCAGTCAGGCGTCCAAGCCCTCTGCAACAAACTGTTCAGCGTCTCTCAATGTCCAAGCCCAGACCCTGCCTGCAGTTGAGTGCAACTCTCCAAGCATTCCACTCGGGCCAACCTCAGTCAAAACCTCTCGCCCTTTGACTCAAACATGCACAACATGGGTCGGTTGCAGTACGACATGGTTGCCCTCCGTGTTCACGGACCTTCCGAACCATCGCTTCTCGCGCAACCGTTCGGGGCAAAGACCGGTTGTGACCCAAATGCAGCTTCTGCAGCATGCCCAAGCCCTGGCGATGGATTCTCGCGCAGCCAGCCGCCTTGAAGCCTCGCCGCCTTAAAAGGAAACCGAGCTGAGCCAACAGTTGCGAGGAGTCCCGAGTTTTGTCACGTTCACATAATCCTTCAAGGGTTTGGGGAAGGGGAAGCCTTCTGCTAATCCTCAGCATGCATGACACCTGCCGTAGGCCAACGGGACGGGTTCCTCTGGAGTTTTGACCTGCAGATCTCCAAGCGGGGCCCCAACTTTAGACCTCTCACAAACAGAAATGCCCCAATACAATGTATAAGCAAGCTTGAAACACATCCACCGAAATGGGTGGTCCCCCTTCTTCCCTCCAGAATGCAAAAGACGGTACCCTCAACTGGCCCGGACCATACGCGCTCAAGGTACCGCAGCCCCCAGTAGGCAAATCACTGCTCCAACAAGATTCCCTTAAAGATAGGGACATAAATCTAAAGGGTATTGAGTACTTGGAGCACTTACTCGAGGGGCCCTTGACACGTAATTAGGTACCTGTTCTTGTTGTAATAATGTGTGGCAGTACACGGGCGGGTGCCTGAAAACTCCTGAAAAGCATGCTTTGTCTTGCAATGCCCGGGCAATGCCTAAGCTACCTGCTGTCCGCAAATTAGGCTCAGCGCTTCTGCGAGCCAACGTGAAACGCTGTCTACATGGCAAGCAGAGCAAAGCCAACCAGTCCCTGGCCGCCCAAATGAGTCACCGATGCTGCCTCTGGAAGGATAGTAGAATTTGGAAGAAACTTGGTATGTGTACCCAGCGTCCACATGTAACCCCAAATATAATCACCTTTGTTGAAAAAGAAAGGTTGCAAGTTGGATGACACGTTGCTCACCTGCCTCAACGGCAACCTGCAGATTCTGCCCTGTCCCTGCGCTACAAGGTGCTGCAAGCGTCGGACGCAAAGCGAGGCTCTACTTTCGCCATGCACCGTCCTGGCTCCCACGTTCGGTCACCCCCGAAAGAACTTACGTACACGTTCGGTGGTTCATGTGTGAAACCCTTCCAATGGTCCGGCGGAAACCGTAGCAGGGCCTTACTTACCGCCAAATAGCCCAATTCCCAACAGAACTACTGAGCTCCTGAGCAGGCGTTGCTGCTTAAGCAACAACAGGCAAAGCCTATGACATGCCGCAACTTGGCTGTGCGACGGCATGTTGCAGGTTGGACATGGCCATGGCACCCGAAAAAGGCGGAGATAAAGCGTGCCCCCAACACTTATATTGACTTGATGCTTGTTCGGGTGTCTGTACCTTGCGACATCTGCCGGGTTCCTCGCCGCCTTGAACAAGAATGAACCACCGTAAACTTGCCGCGATCGAAACTTGTCGCAAACGCTCGGTCCCGATTCCCGCTGGGTCCTGGAGGTGCATCGAATTCGCGGAGGGTCCTGCACAGGAAAACCGGAACCAGCACCATCCCTTTATTAGACGACCACTTCGGATGGAGTACAACAGAAAGCATCCCCGATCCCTAAGAAATACAACTCAGGTGAGCTGGCGAACCAACAACTTCCCGAGGTTGCCATTTGCCCAGCACCTCCAAATCCAGGGAAGGTGCCACTTGGGGATTCGTCCAGAGGATTTCTGCGAAGGGAGAAAGCCTGAGAGGACGCATCGGTGTCTCAGTGTATTCTTCCCCCTGATTCATGGTTTGTGTTGGTGGGTTGTGTTAGGGGGATACCTTCTCAAGAAACTGGCTCAAATCCCCAAACCACTTGTCCGATTCAAGCTGGACCCCCTCAAAGAGGCGTCCTTCACTTTGAGGACTTTAAAAGGGGGTTGCTGAAAAAACGAACTCCCTCCAAGTGTTCAGTTTCCCATTTTCACCAGCTAAAGCTTAACCCATCAAACAACGTCTTGTTGCCACACCAAGACGACTTTGCTTTCAAGAACCGGGTGTCAGCAATCCAAGAGAATCCGAGCCCTCCCCCGTTTCGAAATCTCCGGTCCGTGAGCTCAGACGATGAGCATGTGCCCAGGCCGGACCCAGTATTCGAACTCCTGCGAACCCGAACGCGGCAAGTAGACTCGTTGGGAGCCTGGAGGTCTTAGGTTGGAAGGCCGGAAGAGGGTTTAGGTTTATTCTTTATTCCAGGGCCATGGCCGCAGGCCATCGTAGCTGGCAAATGTGTGAGTTCCTTGTCGGGCCAACTAACTGCTCTGATCAAATCACCACTCGACAACCCTGGACAAGGGCATAGCCAGGCCTAGGCAAGTTCGGCAAGTTCAGGTCTCGAAATCGCAGAACCCTTTTGTAACCGATTTCGACACATGCCAACATCAAAACAGGTCCTAAACCCACATCTAGGTCCTTTAACCACATATTTTCCACAAAAGACCTCAGGGTCTCAGACGGACCCAAGTGATCGGCTCTTTTCGAGGTCATGCAGCTGGGAAATCTCCTCTCGGCTCACCACACCATCTGAGGAGGGCAAGAAGCTCCTCGGTTCGCTTCCATGCGGCTACACCCAGCAAAAATGGACTCTGCCCGCGAGCTGTTGGGTCCAAACTGGCTGTGGCTCCGCAAATTGGGTTTCACGGAGTGGCTCAGAATCAGGTGTGAAACCCAGAGCTTGTGTGGCGAGCTTATTCGATGGCTTTTCGCCTTTTTCTTGTGCTGCCCTTTGGTTTCCTTCAAGGCCGGGATCTCAAGAAGTTGGTTGGGTCCATCTTCAGGCCCAAGCAAGGACTCCCGGCCATTCCGACGTTAGTCTCAGGTGTCAATTGGCGGCTCAAAGCCCAAATCAGGAAACTACTAGGCCGACCGACACCGACCCACCGACCACGAAATAGGGATCCAAGTTTGCTTCGATGTACTTTCAAAGGACCTCCAAAAACAGGTACCCTTACACGCAAGTTTCCGCTCACCTAAGGACATTCACAAGTTGAGCAGGCGGGCGAAGCAACCCACATGCCAACCACTAGGATAGTGCTTTCCCGTCCGGAGATACTCTTCAAAGACCATCGGAAAGCCAAGCATTCTGAGAGTCCCCCCAATTGGAGGAAGCATCTTGCAGGGATTGGCGGCAGTGGCCAATTACCCGAGTCGCAAGACGCCAATCGCCAGCAAGGGCTGGTCTTGTAATGTTGACGAAGCACACTGATGAGAAGACATGATACAAGACACTACTGATGCATCACAGGATATTGCAAGCTACATGAAATGACACAACATATAGAACATCCTGGTGGGCACAATATACCCCTCATCAGGTCAAAGCACGGCCTTGATCAGGGGTGAAAGCGCTTGTTAGGCCGCAGAGTTTGGCTGGCAAAGAAACGTGCAAATCTAGTCAACGTCATTGTTACAGGCATGACACAAGCTCACACGTGCAAGGGCCATCACCCCCAAACGCGTAGTGCAGAATCTGCTTTTCTCTACAGAACTTCCTGGGGAAGAGTCTTGAAGGTTCTTCATGTTCTTCCCATTGGGCAAGTCAAACACAGCCGCTGTGTCTTTTATAGCCTCCAGGATCGAAAGGCACCCGCTACGGGCGGATATCAAAAGAAAGGAACCTGACCATCGTTGGTCGATCCTCTCGGCGAACATTTCGACCCACATGGCTTTGACTTTTCAGAGAGGATACAAGAGGTTGGTAGACATATCTCCCTCTAACGATGTCCACGCAGAATACATTCATCGTGCTGCCTGGTCCCAGGGGTCCGCTGGATATCAAGCACCAAACCGTAAAGGCCTGAAGCATCGGCTCCGGGCTGGCCCCGGCCCCATGGCTATGAGCGCTGGGGCGAAGGCAGTGCATTGACCACATAATCCAGGTCATCGTCGCCAAACAACTCCTCACGGAATTCTCAGCTAGCCTTCAACTAAGAACCAAACTTGATCCTCCTAATAGGCACCACAACCATAGAACAAGAAGGCCAATTTTTCCCAAGACACAGCCCTTTTTTGGCAGAATCTTGATAGGCCCAGAGATTACCCGCGAAGGCTCTAAGAGGCTTACCAGGTGTGCCTGAACATCAGGTTTCCTTCTGAGGTGCTCAATTGCCAATGAAGCACAGTTCCTCGGAAAGTTGCCCCGACAAAGGGTCCAAAATGTATTTATTCCACAACGAAAAGCCGGCAACCTAGGAAGTGAGATATACTTCCACACAACACAAACAACCAACACACCATCCCATTGTGCAGAAGAGCATTCATGCAAGCCAACTCTGATTTTCGATCTCCAGATGGCCACCACGTACCCAAACCCTGAGCACGCCACATGGGTGTGTCCCAAAATTGCTGACGTCCTGAAAACAGTTACCTTGAGATCTTTCTTTAAGCCACCCCAAAAGAGCGTACCCTCCGAAAAAGGCGCACCCTCGGCCTCTTCGTTGGTGACCTGCTTGATGAGCGCCTTGAACTGAACCTTGTTGAGGCCTCAGGCTGGACCCTCGGGGATCAGATCAATCCGGACATTGCGCGATCGACTTCGCCGAGACACCAGGGCCTCAGCCCCCATGAAAAGAATGGTTGATCCAGTTTGGATGCCAATCCTTAGGTAAACCGTGGTGGTTGTATATTAACCCCCATTGTTTGAATGGTGGTTTGAACCCCGGGGAAAAGCTGGGGACGGTGACTTCCCCAAAAGCCTAGGTAAGTTCAAGAATGTATCACCCCTTGACGCAGAAAAATGAAGGGGTGTCCACCCTGCAGGGGGCTTAACTTGGCAGTCAGCCCTGGGGAACGCTTCTGCACAGAGTACAATTCACCAGCCTCAAGAATGAAAGCCCCTTTCACGGAGACGCTCGTTGAATGAGCTCATTGTTTGGCACAGCCATGCCAGAATGTGCGCAATCGAAAATGCGCAGAATAAAGGAGGGACAGAGAGAGGGAGAGAGATAGACACAGACCACAATATGTTCCGCGCCGCCTAGACTACAAGAACACCTTAAGCCGTGATGAAGTCTTTCGAAGAAGGGTTTCACTTCCCCTCCCCCAACCCACTGCCCAGGGGAGAATGCGGTATACAAGCCTGAAGCTACAAAGAAATGGTGTACCACACTTTCCAACATCGGGATAGTGATTAGTGATGGAGTTCGTGGAACCCCTCGTAAATACCTAGATACAGGCAGCCTGTGCTAGTCTATGGCTCCACTTTCTGATAGCTATTGCCGTGCCGCCTTTTGAGACATGCAGATTCCACGAGAACCTAGGCAAACGGTGGCTCTCAACCTCTAATATTTTCACACACACACAACTAAACAGCCTTTTGAGACCCTTCTCCGGGCATTTTACAACAAGGTCGCTCCTTGCGTCTTGGATCCGAATCTTACAAGCCCCGAATCCCCTCATCTTTCCTGTGCTTGAAGGGACATTTTCATTCCATCCCTGAAACGACCAACTCCCAACATCTCTGGGGCTCCCACCTTGCTGTGTCGGGGCAATGTAGTGATCCAGGCTGCCACCGGTTTCTCTTTCCCGCAGAAGGATGTTCCTGACCTTGTCCAGCTTGTTGCTGATGAGCCAGCCTCCACAAACCCAATTGCGTACTGCCAGCTCGCGTTGGCAACGCCATGTCAAGGTTAATACTTGATGGGCCTGAACAGCCCTTGATGGCCTCTTTCAGAACAAGTCAGTCTAAAATGCACTGGAGGAAAGATCTTTTTGCAACCGCCGTCACAACATGCAAATGTAGGCTCAATTCCTCAAACGCCAAATCCAGACTCCTCATGTTTTTTGTCTCCATGAAAGGGATCGCAGGCAAACCTGCCTCGTCAAGAGGTCCAGTGTTTTCACTGCAGCAAACACTGAGCTGGCTTTGATTTGAACCATGAAACGGCTCTTTTCGGGGACAGACTAGGGCAGTCAAGGGGTCCCCACTTCGACGCATAAAGTGATATTTCCCCCATGTCAAACCGGTCACCACTTCACCCGATATCCTGAAACACGGGGGTGCTGAAAAGATGCCAGCTTCTGAAGAAAAGAAGCCGCGCAAAAAGCGAGGATGCCTCTTTTCGAAAAGAGGCTTCACTCAACATACGAGTGTGACCCTTCTCTCTGGTTGGTTTGTTTGTTCACTCATTTTTCCTCCGACTGTGTGTAGTGCGGGAAGGAATCCTGGCCCCAAAGGAAACAGAGGCACTAATGCGTAACATGTATATCTGTAGTATGTATTGAACTAGTTGAAGTGAGCAGACATATGCCTATGCAGAACACAGCCATCAACCAGAAAAAAATAACATATTAGTCTATTTACACGTGTATGTCATTCTGCAAGCCAACGCAAACCAACTCACAGTTGATTACCAAACAATCATGGTTTGAATAGCTCAAACAGAACTTCTACAAAGACCTTTGCCCGGTTGCTTATATACGGGGATATGGCAACACATAGAAACATAATTTCTCTTGCATCCCTTTCAGGAAGTCAATTAACTGATAGCCGGCCCCCGCAACAAAACACATGTTGGTTTCCTCTGGATCTGTCAACCATAGAGGGCAAAAGGTGTCAACATCCAAAAAGCCAGGTTGCCCTTTGTTCCCAAACCAAAAGAACTTCTGCAGAAAGGAACACGCTCACCCCCAGGATCTGAAGGTGATCGGATGGCCGCTCCTTTGATCAGCGCGATGGCTCCGAGCCTGTGGCAAACTCCACATGGGTTAACCAAAAGGGCGTTGCTTTGTTGCAAGACAATATTTCAAATAGGAAAACGCCAAGGGTGGTTCTCCTCCAAAAAGGGCACATACACGCACACACTTGGAGTACACATTAGCCAAACAAGACACCTTTGACGTTGGACAACTTGAAATGTGTCCTTCCAAAGAGGGCAACATAAGGACTCCTGTGGACCAACACAAAACGGGTTGGAACGCCTTTTGCATGGTGTTTGACGGGAACTTAGGACTCACAAGTTTAGACATTTGAAAACACCTAACTGAGCCTCTCTCAAATGCTGGCCAAGCCTCCAACTAGCCGGTTCTTGCTCAGATAGCTAATACTCGAACCCCGGTACGGAGAGCTGCTCCTAATTGTGGTTGGGAATGTCGCTCACTCAATTGACTGCCTCCTTTGTAACTCCTCCCCAAATTGAGTTGCCCTGGTACTAAACGTGCTCTATCTATTCCTGGGTCAAGTTCGACTGAGGAATCCGGTGCTGGATATAAACTCAAGGAGTAATCTCAACGTCACTTGCAGTGTGCTGCCAGCCTGGCTCGGCATATGTAAGCACACTTCAAGCACAAAAGCAATGTGAGCGATGCTTCAAACTGTGTTACCCACGATGGACATTGGGTTTCACTGGGTTTTTCAGGGGAATGCAGTAGGCTCATATTCTGCAAGTCTTCCGTGACCTCACCATACCGTACAAGGCAAAAGGTCAGTGTTGGTTGGCGGCTCAGCATATCACAGAGGATGTGGCTTGACTAAGGCTCTGGCACCACAAGATATAGTGTGAACACTCCTGCAAGCTGCCAGCGTCTCCACATTTGGAAACCACAAATGGATGGTTTCTCGCCGGTTTCCCGTCGAACAACAACGGAAGCATCCTGAAACCATCAGCAACAAGCACACACACATACACGCACACTCATGTTACCCGGATCGTTCAAACACTTCGGCTTTCCCGGCTTCGCTCATTCACGGTTGTTCCAAAGACCTTGTGGCAAGAGCCAACATTTGCCCTCTGAGAAGGGGCAGCAAAAGGTCACAATGCCCCTTGTCTATCCGTTTGGAGCAACCCTGTCAAGCCTTCCTCGCACACCTCGCACGGAAACACAAATGCAGCAGTTTTCACGTTGTGCACATATCACATGCCCAAACTCCCAAAATCATTAGCGACAAGGATAAAGCTGGCGACAGCGAAAACTGATGGCTCCAAAGGGCAGTGTTCAGAGATGGTTCTTGAACAAACTCCAAACAATCTCATCAAGGCGAGAGAGAAACACCCTACAGTTCAACAGACATGTTCAACAAGTGTGGTGCTTTTGTGACCCTGCGCTAAATTGAGCGGCAGTTATAGTAGAAAGCAATTGACAAATGAAACATTGATCGAGATAAAGTTGCAAAGCAAGTTGAACACATTTTTGAGCAGCAGTCGGCCGCAAAAGAACAATGGACCATAACTTGAGAAGTTTAACAGCTCACACAACACAGATTGACAGCAATGCAAACTAAATTGGATATCATTTGGAAAGCAAGCACAAAGCAAGTGGACAGCAGCTCAAAAGATCATGAACAGCAGTTGGAGAGCAAATGGCACAGCAATTCGAAAGCAAAGCTGAAGCTGGGAACTAACTGTTAATACTAAGCAGGTGGAGAGCCACACCTAATTAAAGAACAAGGCATGGCAAAACTTACGACGCAATACCAATATGTGTGCCAAACAGATTACGTGACGGAATTCCATTGAGTCTGCACACTGCACAACCAAACAAGAACCAGAAATAAGGTATTCCCACGTAAAGAACCTTTATCATGGTGAGCTCGTTAGCCCCCTAGGTGAGCTTGCCCTAAAGTAAAGGCAGATTGAGCTCCTTGTTTGATTGAATGATGTCTATTAATGAACGATCGCTTTTGTGTAGGGAATTATTGACAGACTCGTCTCCATGTTTTGTTGTTTTTTTAATCCAAGGGCTGACCCGAGTGCCATTCCCTCTCTCAGTTGGCTGCAAAAGCCGAAGTCCACAAAACGGGCAACACACAAGTTGGCAATTTCCATGTGAAAACTGATAAGACTTGTACCCATTGAAACCCTTTGTCCATGGCACTGAATTGAAAAAAGCATGGCCAACGGTAAGAACCAATTTGAACTACTGTCACTGCATTTGAGAGGTCAAATCTTCTTTCTGCATTGCCGCAAGTTCGGCTGAGTTGAGCTGTTTCCGCTTCCTAGGCGAGTTGGGATGCAACAAGGAGAAGCAACATGGTTTCACGACACACAGCCTCGCAACCCGTTCAAATTGAGTTGCCAAGTCAAACGAATCCTGATTTGTTTGGAACAGGTCCTTGGCTTGGTCAAGCCAAGGACTATATGGTTCAACATCCTGTTATGTTGCCGTCCACTGAGACCGGTCTCCTCCGAATGCCCAGCTAATGTTGGTATCCCACAGCGCGCTGAAGACCTAATGCTTGGGTCAACGGGCAAAGGCGGCAGGATGTCGGTAGCCGAAACAGCAGGCCAAAAAACAAAACAAGTAAGCAACACGGCAGCAAACAACCAAACAACCGAACAAGTACGAAACCAACCGAGGAACCAAGCAAGCAGCCAAACTTTCAACCACGTGAACTGCCATTTACTTGCATAGTTGTCTCTGAGTTCTTGGCTCGGGCTCTTGACTTAAAACCAAAACTGTACAACTGCTTGGCTCACTGTGCACGGCCGTACGGTTTTTCCGGCTAGTCAAGGGAGGCAACCATCATGTGGGATGCCAAGCAAGCAACCAAGCAATCAATCAACCAAGCGACCACATGCACTTCTGCAACCAACCAACCAACCAACAAGGAACCAACCAAACAAGCATGCAAGCCAGCCAGCCGGAGGGTATGCTGCTTCGGAATTGTTTATATTCCCTATCACATGTGAGGGGGAGTGTTACGTGTTAAGCAGCATTCAACTTGACATGGTCGCTGCCTTTTGCATTTGCGCAGTGAGCGAAGCAAATACATTCAGCAAAACAATTGCCCAGGTGGGAAAAGAAAGAACAGCAACGTGATTGTTTTGCAGGGGGACATACTCAATAAAGGAATGGGGCCAACTTGTGGATGCAGGGCTCCGTTGCTAGGATGTATATAGAGTTTGCAGCAAACATTTAGCATGTCCTACGGTAAGGACCGCAGGGGTCGACTGCAGTGGATGCTTGTCCTTAGATCTTGCGTGCAAACTGCTGGCAACTCATTCTGCAGTTTCGAGCCCCAAGGTGCGTCAAGGAGGGACCCTTTTGCAGATCTTCTGTGGCCATCTAAACCGTTGCTCCAAACCACTACCCCCCGGGCAGAGCCGGACATAGCTTGGGCGAAGTGTTCTTGGGGCGAACATGCTTTCCGAGAGATCACGAGGCTGGGCAGCCCACCATTGTGGCTAGGAAGAGATACCACATGCCTCGCGAGAAAAAAGAAAAGCCACACGCACAAACGCATAGAGACACAGAGACACACAGAGACACACGCAGACACATAGAGACACACACACACAGAGACACACAGAGACACACAGAGACACACAGAGACACACAGAGACACACAGAGACACACAGAGAAACACAAAGACACACAGAGACACACACACAACAGACACATAGAGACACATAGAGACACATAGAGACACACAGAGACACACAGAGACACACAGAGACACAGCGACACGCAGGCACACAGACGCATGCAAACACAGACACAAACACATACACACAGACGCAGACACACACGCACACACAGACAGTCACCCACACAGACACAGAGACACACACACACACACCACACACACACAAAGACACACAGAGAAGCACGGACAAACACAGAGAAACACAGGCACAAAGACACAGCGACACACCGGCATACCAACACACACACACAGACGCACAGACTCACACACACAGACACGCAGACATGCTGACACGCAGACTAGCAGACACACAAACATACAAACACACAGACACACAGACACACACACGCACACAGAGACACAGTGACACGCAGACCAACCCGGCTGGGCACGAAGACTGACCAGACCAATCTTGGGGTGAAGCAAACACAGAAGCATGGAGAGAGCATGTTGGAAAGTCAGAGCCCATTTCGCATTCCTTGTCATTGGAGTTGGGCCCAGCCCCCCTCCCCCCTATTCGTCCGTCCCAAAGTAAGACTGGACTATCTACCACAAACACCGTGATCTTGTCACTTGCTCGCGTCACCGCCCTGACATCGGGAATCTATTCCCAAGTAAGCAATTCGTCAGGCGGAGTGGGAGACCCTGCCTCGTCCCATGAATCGGGTCCTGACAGCAAAGCAGTGGCCAAAGTTGCCAATGCTGACCCTCAAAGGCGGAACATAGAGATGCCAGTCCCAAATGCAAAAAAACAGTCATGCAGTGTAGATAACTTCTAAGATGCTCTGTGGTATGAAAACGGTCCTGGTCTGCATAAACAGGCCCTCATCGTGATCTTTTTAAGCAGAAAGCAGCACCATCCATCAAAAATAATATGCCTAGGGCGTTTCCTAGAGCAGGCGCTCCCAAAATGGCTGCTTCATAAAAGTCTAATTTGAACCAGCGTCCAAAACCCACCCTGTCAAGTCAAAGCGTGTGCTTGAGGCGCTGGCATGAACAGCACAAACTTGTAGCAGTGGTCTCGGATGCTGACGAGCGTCCTCAGCATTGTATGAACGTACAGCTGTATGCAGGTCAGAATTGGCCGGTTCCAGTGCCAGCCCCAGACAATATCGCTTGATCCATCCAATGGGCATGGGAAACTAAACATCGCATAAGCTGTCTCCAAGAACGGGAACGCACAACTTGATGTGAAAGGGCTTCCTTGCGGATCCATTCTGACAAAATGTGAATCTTCCATGTTCCCCGTCGCAACTTTTGTGTTCCCTACATAGATGACCTTCAACCTTGGCTAACTTGCTCATAGTTCAATGTACGACTACAATTTTAGGCCCCCCCCCCACCTCCTTTCAAGCCACACGTGATCAGGCGCTTCCGTCAGGCTATCAAGAAAGTAAACAAAGCAACATGGCCGTGACGCGGCGTCCAATATCTCCCCGTTCTGCAAGTCAACTAAACGTGGCACACAGTACTGCAAAACCACAGGAAGCTCAACATAGGGCAGCCCACGGTTCGGCACGTGCGCAAAAGCAGCTCTAAAACTCCTAATTGAACTGATTGCAATCTACATAACATTGTAATATGTAAGGGATTGCAAGAAGCCAAACCAGCATACACGGCGGAGCAACTACTGACTGCATCCCGTCAAAGAGCGCTGAGGGTATCTCCTTCAAACACGGAGGCGTCCAATTCTGTCCACATCCGAGGATCCGGCGGCCAATCCCTTGGGTTGGGATTCGGGATGGGGAAATCCAAAACCTGAGCCGTCAGAACTCGGGCCAAAGGACTCGGGGTGTCTGGGTGGAGGGGGAAGTTGGCCGTTGGCCTTCGAGAAACGCATGGGCTTGGCCCCGTGGGAAGTTGGTTGGGGTTTCTGTGGGACCATTCGTGAGGGTGGGTGTCTGGCCGACCATTGGGTGAGGGTGCTCCCCATGCCGAGACAAGCATGTTAGCAGAGTGTTCAACCATGGATGTCCTGAGACCGCTATGTGAAAGCACGTGAAGTACATGTTCCACTCAGGTGTCGACAAGAAGCCACTTGAGAAACATAGATGTCACTGGGCTGCTTATGTTTCTTGTCCATCTGAATGGGGAAGCCCCTGCTGTGGTAGAATTCACCGGAACACCAGCCATCAGCCAAGCATTTGGAGAGGACGCCTTTCTTTGAGTTTGAGGCACATCGAGGCACGGCCACTCCAACCATACACACTGCCCCAACTGCTCCTGCCACGCACGGAGTGTGGCAGCATCGGTCGCGGCACATTTCTCCGAAGGCTTACACGCTTCGAAGCGGATGTGAGACTGCGGCTGAATCTACGCGGCCCCTACTCTATCTCTGGGGATCAGCTTGAGGTCGGCACCGTGCTTGAGAAAAACTGCGCCGGCGGTCTGATTGGGATTGAGACCGACTCCATCATTTGTGATCACGGCGCTGGTGGAGGGGTTCACCTGACGGAGAATGTTAATCGACCAATCGCACTTGCTATGAAGTAGGGGACGTCATGGTGAGGTGATATGAGGTGTTTGCTTCAGTATGCAGTCGGGTTGCCAAAATCCGGCGTCCTTTTTGAGACAGAGGTGAGAGTTGATGCTGCGCTTGATGGAGTCCAAAGCGGGGGTGCGACAAACAAAAAGGCCCCTTCGTCTTTGCGCGGAAAACTCTCTGATTCATCTACAGCATGGGCAAGGTTCACATCTATCGGCCAAAGCTCCCTTGCAATGGCGATTGACAAGTGAGGGTAAATCAAACTCAGCAATGCACGTAGCACATCCACCCAAGTTGCCACGAAAAGGGGCCTGATGCGGTGAGTCAAACCAAAGCAGAAAGGTATGACAGTTCTTGTTGTCACTCAGGGAGTCAATAACCTTGATTTTCCGGCAACTCAAAAACCGCATGCAAACCGCAGACGTAGTAGTTAGACGTCCCCTGCAAACCAGAAAAGCCTTCCCACGGAACACGATGCCAGCGAATTGAATTATCAGAGAGTTGTGGGATTCACTGGCGCCACTACTTGCTAGAGCAAGAGAGACTCCTGCAAGCAAGCTGCTTTCGTGATGAGCGGCGAAATGCCTTGTGTTCCCTAGTCATTCTAGGAGTAGGGGCTAAATCATTGCCCACATTGTCCAATGATCCTGTCTTAATTTTGTGGTAAAGCCTTTTAGGAATTTCCCACAATGAAGGGATCCATTTATTCTTCGGAACAATGCCCAAAACCCAAGGCCAAGGGCAGTGCTTTGCAAGGAACAATGACTGCAAAAACAATCATCCCGCGGTTCCGAATTGGGGCCCTGGACTGTCCCTTGTTTTCGGTGTTGGAAATCATAAAAGAAATCAACGTTGGGGACCATAGTCAAGTGGAGAGGCAGAAGCTGAGGTATATGTTTGGTGGCCATTTTCATTTCTCGTGCAACATGACTTGGCCGGGATTTTCTTGGGGATGGTGGCTCGGGAGTTATCAGTAGAGCCCGCCTCAGACAGAAGCAGCAAACCTTTTCTCCATGTCTTTGCACATTTGTACGAGCTTGATAAACCTTGTCTCCTTCACACATAGCCCATCATCTTGAAATCCAATCCTCGTGCCGTCTCGTCTTTTGGCACACCCATTTCCGTTTTCCAACTGAATTCATCTTGCCCAGCCGTATTCGGACTCCGAAACAGCCAGAGTTCAGACGCGACTTTGCTGACAAAGCCAACCGGGGGGGAGGGGGGGGAAACAACAAGCCGAAAACCACAAGCCATGCGGGTCGAACGTCGCGAGCCTTGAACTCCTCCGCGGCGAACTTGATGCACGCGAGGAAGGGCGCTTCTTCCGGCACGGTGATCACCTTTCGAAGCGCCGCGAGATCCGAGCGCGAGATCGCTATAGGTGAAACCGGCCAAGGCGTTTGTCTTTTACCCAACTGGATTCCACTTGTTTTGCTGGGCGTATGCGAAAATGGTTGATGTATTCAAAGTATACTGTACAATGCTGCAAAGATATAATTATAAGTTCCTTAAGAGGGTGCCCCACAAATAGTTTAGGGGTAGTGGGAACTGAAGGAGTGCAGACAACAAGGGAAGGCCCTAAACTGACCTTCATGTTCTTTCTGTCGCGCAAAGAATGTCCTTCCCCTGCGTAAAAGGGAATTTCCAGCAGCCACCCCTAGCAGGAATTAAGCATGTTGTCCCTTGAAACATCGCCTTGTCCACCCAAATGAAGCTCAAACAACAAACAACGGGATGATGCCATATTGGCTCATGGCCCCCTAAGGCCCTAAGACGTTGGGACCCTAGATGGCAAATCAACTCCTCAAAGCATGACACTGTGAGGTCTCAAGGTGTAGCCGACTTCATGTGTTCTTCGAATTGACACAAGCGCCAACAATAGATATAGCGAATTCGGCCGGGAACCGTGGCCGGATGCTTTTGCGCCAAAAAGGAGCTCAGCTTGAAAGCCAAATCATCGGTCCAACTCGTATTGACCAGCTTCCATACCTTGACTCCGTGAACAGCAGTGATCCCCAGACTGGTTAGTTTATGGACCACCATGCTGTCAACCGCTTCTCCAGTTCCTCATGGTCAATTTCCGCGCCTTGAAGGGCTGGGTCTTCTCCGAGGCCAAGGTGATCTTGAAGCTGACTTTGGGCTTCGCCGCCATGGCCGTGACTCGCGCTTCGGACAGAACCGGAAGCCACGCCAGCTGAAGCCAACCGCCAAGGCACGGCACAACCGGTGCGTAACTTAGTAACGGAAGCAGTACAAAGCGTGCAGCTAACCCCTATGGCCCCCGAAAAGGACACCCCATCGTCTAACAAACACGCGGTGACTTGAATTCGCCATGCCCATTCTTTCCAAATGACATGTCTGCTCTTTTTTTGGGTGTTTATGACTTGCGCATGCCGACCTGACAAATCATGGCCTTCACTTCCGCGGCGAGCAAGCTGGGGCTACCGCAACCATCAGGAGGCCGAAGAACAAAAGGAAAAGCGTGGTCATGAACTGAGCCGGAGCCTCAGCAAACCGAGCCAGGGATCCAATGCGAACCGACACATGGAGATGGGCTTGTCATTTGAACGGGTCGCCCAAGAGGCCGCCCTGGAAGCGTTGCTCTCTTGCCACCAGCACTTTTCTGTCACCCTGGCGTGCGATCAAAATGTCCCCTGAGCCACAGACCCACTGAACATGGATAATCCTGCGGGCGTCAAATCTATGCAAAGCACAACCGCATCGCCAACAAACAAGTGGGACACGGGCAAGGGTCGAGCACTGTGCAGCCTTGTGGGACAATTCCGAGTTTCTCTGCCGCTTTCAACAAGCCAATTTGAAACGAAGCTGCATCCTATCTGCAAAGCCAAGGCATGTTCTGGCAAACACCCCGAGTCGCTGACATTTGATGCTGTCCAAAGGTCAGGACCCAAAAAAAGGCTGCCACGAGCCGCACTGACGAACATGTGAGTCCAGTACAGCACGCAGGTCACCCCCGTTGTCAGCACGATCAGGGATCCTTCGGGCGGCGGTCAGGTCTTTGGTTGGCTTTTTGGCTCCACCGCGCTTATGAGAGCCCGGAGCAGTTGCAGTCAGAGCCTTTCCACGGAGAAGACAGGAACTTCAAGTTGCTCAATCTTGCAGTCGGCAACTCACGGGAACAACAAACAGCGGAAAATCAACACCAACAATCGAATCGTCTGAGGAAGTGGACAATGTAAACACTCGAAGATTACTTGCACCCCCCAAGTAAATCCATGGAGGGAAGGATGGGTCACCCCAGCGCTGCTCCGAAGCCGCAATAATATAACCAAGCCTGTCAGAACAGTGTAAGGAACATGCAACATCCAGCACAAGTGGATGGTCTTCCTATGTCTGCGCCCAACATGTGGGGATGTGTCAACTTGAAATGACCCTGCTTGGACTTACAGTGTATGTTGCTCGCTGATATAGATTTCGGGTTGTCAAACTTGTTGGAACCTCTGCGAAGGGATGGCTGCTTTTACAATCGAGGTTGCAACTTTTGGACACCTCTGTGAGCCAAAACCGGAATTCCCCTAGGCCTGAGCATGGTAACTACCACCATTGCCAATACGGAACTTGCTAGCAAAACCACAGGACGCATAAAATGCTTGGATTGCTGCAATGCTTCCGGCTGGGCCTTGTTTCTTCTAGTGGTCTAATCATGTTCCATCGGAGTTTACATCGAACATGCAACATGCGAGCTTATTCGGTGGTAGCCATCTCCAAGCATCTAGATCTTCACTTTGCCTCACAGACTTGTGGGAATCATGGGCTGCTCCCCACTGTAGCATCGTTTTCTTTGGGTGAAGAGTAAGTCAGTCTTTTGAAGGTTGCTGGCCAGCGGTATCACAACAGGAGATTCTCTCTCCCACAACCTTGTTTCTTCATCTGGGCTGACGGCCCACAAAGAAGAAGAACTTCCACTTCATGGTCTTCTCAATGCCGGCGACCCCCTGCAAAGAAGCAAAACTGATCGGCATTGACACAAGCGGCCGAGTTGGTTGCACACTTGGATGAGGGACTTCCAAGCAAAGGCGACACTGCATTGCAAGCAGGGAACAAAAAATGCCCCCCCCGCCCCCCCCGCTGGCAACAGTTGAACTGGGTCTTGTGCTTCCCAACACTCGTGGAGCACGGTGTGCGCAAGAATATGAACACGCAAGCTGTGTCAAACTGCCTGTCACGAGGGATGCTCCAGCCAAGGACGGCAAATTCTAAGCAGTATCCACCATGCAGTGGAGTGTACATAAAGCCATGGATAGACATACATGGTGTGGTCGGTATACGGGATGGTGTGGTACATCGGTTGGTACACGGGTCCCTGGCTGAAACATGGGTTAGTTCATCCATATGCACGGGACACGACAAGACTCAACGTTCATTTCCAAAAACACACCAAATCCCAACAGCAAAACTTTCGGCAACAACTTCCCAAAGTGGGAGTCCCGATTTCACGGAAGCTACAACATGAAGACCAGGCAACTTCAACACATCTCAGTGTATGGGTCCTACCAGGAGTTGCTGGAAAAGAAGGGGTTCCTAAGCATTTTTTTCTGGCTGGTCGCTCACTCATGGCAAAGTTAAACCTATCCTTTACATCGGTGATTCAGGGTATTCTGAAAATCCCGGGCCAAGTTGATGAACCCTTGAACTGACTGACTTGCTTCGCAAGCTGTGCCAGGCAAGTTGTGGTTTGATACACAAAAGAGCCATTAAAAAAAATTGGCCAAACACTGTCTCATCGTTGTTCCTGGAGGTGTGTCTCAAAGGGATTCGTTCTTGAATGGTGCTACGATTTGCAATGTGTATAAAGGACCAAAGGCCAACAAACGGCCCAACTCATTTTGACACATGACACCACACCGGGCCCAAAAGGCCAAGCAAAAACTGACAACTGGCTGATTGCCTTCTGGTGAGTAAGCAACACCACCAGTCCCAAGATCCATCGAGCATTTGCGCCTGCCCTCCCATCAGGCCCTGCCCGTCCATCCTCGGCTCACTGAAGGTTTCTTGAATAAGAACAGTTGCCCGACTTCCGGCAGAAACACCCTGATTCCACAATCGCTGTACCAGAATTGTCCGTTTTCCGGGCGACCTTTCACTTGTGCCACAGCGATTCCGGACACCGTGAACTCCAACGGATAAAATCGTACCGGCCTGGCCAAAATACACATCCCTGTAGAATTCCGTTGGGACGATCAAAACAAAAATGAATCTTCAAACAAAACGATTTCTGTCGCGCTGAAAGCCCGCAACTAAGCCAACGACCCGGTGACACCTCCGGTATTACTGCCCGAGACCGGCAACATTGTCTTGCTCCTGCGGCCAGTCACCCGGATAGCTTCACAGCAAGCACGACTCAATGCAAGTGCCAACTTGCGCCAAGGCACAGGCAACTGTCCTGCCTTACGCAAGTCTCTCACAACACCCGCCTGCAAATGTCCGATGCCAAGTCTTAAGTGAATTCCTCTCTCCGACATGGTACAGGTCCAAGTGGTTGGTCAAACATCGGTCCCCAAAATAGAACCCATAAGGACAAACACTTGCGGGCCATGGAATCAAAGGCTGACCCATTCCTGTGTCGTTTTTGGGTTCCGTCCCACTCCCAGCTTCGCTTTCGGGTCGCCTGAGAATCCGCAAGTTGCCGTTCCTTCCCCCAGGCCCTTCCCAGGCCCTTGAGCTGCAAAAGGCCGCGGAGATGGCGGAAACCATGGGCCGAAGCATGTGGAAATTGGGCTTAAAGCCTTGTATATGTCATATACATGTACATGATGTGTATGTGTATACATGTATATCTATATATTTATGATGTACAAGTCTACATATTAATGCATATATGTGTGTACATTTACATGTCTACCTATCAATATGTAATATGTGTCGTAGCCTCGATCGCAATTACTTATTGTTTTGGGTGTCAACGTGTGTCATGGTCCAGGAGCCTTTTGTTGCCAACATGAGCGACAAACCAGAAAAACCGGCAACTGCAAGGCAAAGGCGGGGCCCGATCGGCCCGCCAATCTGCCAAGATGCGCAGGGCAAAGCTCAAACAAGTCGCCTCCCTCCAGGGCTACAAAAATGGTGACTCCTTCTTTGGGGACCCCCTTCTTAAAAAGGTGGCAGAAACTAACACTGAAACAGGGCCCAAAGGAGCCTCTAGTTACTTTGCATTCTTGTCAACCGACCAGACAAACCCCCCTGAAGCTTGGACGCTGAACCCCCTTTGGCATACCCCCTCCCAATAAGCTATACCATCTTCGAGGGTATTCGTTTGAATGCTACATTTGCAGCCAATTTGAAGGTTCATCCAATCTTTTAAAACATTCCCAACCTGGTCATAATCAAAACCCGGTATTGAAACGGTCTACCCAGATTCATGCAAATAATTAAGAAGGCGGCCGCAGCTATTTAGGATTGGGATTGTCCCTAACCTTCACATTCCCGGGTTTTCTTTGTGCTCTGGGTCATGGATAAAACCAAAAGGTTCCATCTTTGCCACGCCTCCAAGCCCGCCATGCTGGTGATCCGATTGTTCTGCAGGTACAGCTGCTGCAGCCGCCTATGCAGCGGCAGCCAACAAAGCGAGGCCTGAGGTCCCGCACATACACCCCATCCGAAAACTTCCACCCCGAACAAGGTGTGCTGCACTGGTTCTAGCCCTCTACCATGCGCAGCCAAGCCCCTCGAAACGTCCCGCAAGCTCCACGTTTGCCTCAAGTGATGGAGGCCGGCGAGGCTGGAGATCAGATTGTCGTACGCGTACCTGCGCGGCTGCCCGCAGAGCCCGCAGAGCGGCCGACTGCCCGGCAGGAAATCAATCGCAGAGGCTGAAGCTTGCCCAACAGCTTCATTTAATCACTCAGAAAGCTTCGGTGGCTGATCCTTCGAGCTTCGAAACGCCCGTAGTACAGTAGACTTTTAAAAAATGAACTGGCATACCGGTGGTTGTCTCAATCCTGGACCTCTGACCCTTCGCTAGGAGCACAAGACGTAGACGCTGGGCACCAGCTTCAAGCCCTCCAGGTCACCGATGCGCTTGTCTTAGCAGATGGCGGTGCCATCGAAGCGCCTCTGGGGTTACTTCGCCTCATAGGTGGTAGTTTCTCCAATTGAAGGAACCCCATGAGCTTTCCTGTTGGTTTCCCTTTACATCCAGGCAGAGGGGGGGGGGGTGGTGTGCTGTCTTGAGACAAACCCATGCTTACTTGGCGGTGCTTGGTGTTTAAAGGCAAAGCCAAAGCACATCAATTTTGAGACATATCCGGAGCTTGCAGCACTATGGCTGGGGCCCTGAATCTGCAAATGGGTGAGCTTCTGATTGAAGGCCTGTCGTGCGTGGATTTGCCCATCTCTTAAAAGGACGCCGACTGTTCCGTCGCTAGATCTTTCGGGATGTACTTGTCCCCAAGGTATAAAGCGCATTGGTGGTAAGACAATGGGGGTTCCCGAAGAGGTGCTACACCTGCCATTTTTACGCGCTTTGGCCACATGTCACCAACAAAAACTTTGGCAAACACCTATGCTGCACAAAGGCAGAACGACGATTTTTCTAGGTGGCCTGCGTGGAAACAATTCCACCACGTCAGGGTTACCGCCAATATAAAGCGTCTACGAAAGCACAACGATTCTGCAAAGGCAAACTGGCCCCTGCAAACTTTGCGAACCTTCTGCGCGACCCCCACTGTAGTACCTGGAAGCACTTTCCAGCAGTAATACATTCAGTATAATATATCTACACAGGCTGAGAAAGACAATCCTGGAGTGCTTGCTGATTTGTCGCCCTGAGCAAGTGCCTCCAGGCTCTGATTGCCTCGATTCACCTGCAGCAACACTTCAGCAGATGGTCGCACGCTCGTCCAAGCGATCGTGTCAACTAAGTCAGGTTTTGCTTTTGGGTGCTGCCTACGTTGTTCTCCAAGTTTCCATTTCAGGCCCAACTTTGGGACTCCCCAGGCCATGGGGTATATGTAAGGAACCAGCTCAATCCCACAGTCTATCGCTTTGAACAAATGGCGCTTGACAAGCCTCAATGCAAAACCGAGCGCCGCGCATTCGTTGAGAGTGAAATCACCTGGTGCGAAGGCTGAGGTCAGCAGTGCACGGGGTTGCACGTGCTGGCTGAATTAGACTAACTCACGAACTTAAGATTGGGGACCCCCGATACAAGGAACCTTAATCACGAGTAACACACGTTTCTCAGGTCGTAAAGATTGGCCCATGTCCTTGAGCTCCTTGAGCTCCTTGAGCTCCAAGAAATCAAGTCGGAAAGTTCCTTTGAGTTGCTCGAGTTGCGCTTCCCAGACAGATTTGCCCAGCCGGTCTTCCAAGGACATATCGGCCTCCTGTGTCAGAGGCTGCCCTCGGCGAGGCGCTGAGGCAGCTGAAGGAGTGCAGGTGCCTTGAATCAAGTGGTAAGCCAGTGAACCTCACGTCTTCAAAGCCTTCGGGGATCTAAGTATCCATTCCCTTTGTTGTTTCTTTCAGCGGAGATGAAACTATGTTGGGTCATTTAACACCCAGGTAAAGAGTAGATTACTGTCGGAACGGGCAACCATTGCAATCTGAAAGCTCGCCATCTCCAATAAGCCTGCATACGGCTGCAGTGCTAGCTCGCTTTAAGCACCGGCGGCATAAGATTCGGGCTGCTCGCTGGTAACCTGCAAAGCGTTTCTTTCTTTCAGCATTTGGGCTTCTGCGTGCACCTTGGGGCTGCAGATTGGAGCCCTTGATCTGCCCACTACGAGCAAAAAGCTGTTCAGAAGCCAGCTTTGAATCGCCAAGGCACATTGCCTCAAAACGGGGCTTCCGTCCCCTTTTAGGAACTTGTCAGCTGGCCACATTACTCCCTGTTTGTTGGCATTTGCGGAAAGGACCCCAAAACCGACTTTGACTGGCAAAATTATGTGACCAGACCTGGCCAAGTGATGTGATGTTGAACCCTCCGCGGCTTCTGCTTTTCTGATGTCCCCTGCCTGCTGGTCTTGCTGCTCTCAGCAGCGCCCTGGCCAGGTCAAAGAATACAGCTTCGTCTTGGTTCCCTACACAAACCTGTGCTCAGGGGTCCTCTCTATTTGAGACATACCGTGTATCCACAGCTTGGCCGAGGTTTCCTATAGCCTCTAGCTCCAACCGGAAGCTTTCGGTGCACCTCGTCGTCTGAGACGAGATCCTGCCAGCTGGGGATTTGGGGCCCGGGGTGACATCCCAGTCCAACCTTCGCCTTTCTGCGGGTCAGGGACTCTTGCTCGAGAAACCCTTGTGATGGTTGACCTCAGCTTTTGCCCACCAAGCACAATGTGGTTGATTCTGGACCTCAATATGCCAAGCAGTTTCAAAACAGATGCCGGAATATGTTGTGCGGGTTGAGGACCTGTCCACTCCAAATGAACGGGCCATGGCACGCATGTGCATGTGTATGCTATGCCCATCTCCTCCGGCGTTCGCGGCATGGCCTGAACGTAAGGCGGGTGGATTCCATGTGGCTTCCCCCAAAGCCCGGAAGGGTAACCTCCACAAAACGTCAAGCCCAAACAACAAGGGCTAGGGCTGCCAATCTTTGCATCGCAGATTCGCTGCAGTGAGCAGTCCGTGAGCAGTCACCCTGAATTGCGCCCCAACCAGAATTGCGACAATGAAACCAGAAAGGCAAAAACCTGCTTAGCTTTCAGGAAGTAAGAGATCCCAAGAAAGGATCCACCCCCTCTTGATCCCACGTTCAAGACACGCGCAGGGGATAGGCAGCCCGAGCCCCTTTTCTTTTGGTTTTTACCAGGAAGAAACAAGGCCAAAGGCCAAGCCCGCCCTTGGGCGTCGAGGTGTCGAGGTCCGCCTTCTTTGAGGCGCCGGGACTTCGACGATTCGCGTCTCAAGTTGCAGCTGTCCTGTCTTGACTGCACTGAATTGCGCGTTGATCCAGCTGGTGACTGGAGCCAACACGCGAACGAGCGTCTGGGAAAAAGACATGACACACCTGACTTGCACAAGGCCAAGGCGAAACCAAGTCCGGCCAAAGAAATTGTCAGGTACAAACATATCGCTCTGACTGCAGCTCTGGTTTCAGAAACCATCTCCTTCCGGAGGCTGACAACCATGTCCCTACCGAGAGTTCAAGTCAAATCTCTCGTGCAAAGGCAAAAGCCCGCTTTTGTCACCCCTTTGCGCGCACCCTTCGCCCTTCAAGCCGTCTCCACCTCAGCTGAGCTACTTGACAGCATGGCGCAACACCGCGATCCCCGGGCAGAGCGGAGGCCATTCGTTTGAATGATGCTGGTGGTGGTGGTGCTGGCGGTGGTGGTGGTGGTGGTGGTGGTGGTGCTGGTAGTGGTGATGGTGATGATGACAATGCTAATTATAAAGTCTTGCATTCGCGTTGCTTTGATAAAGCCGATTTGCTCAACCCTGCTCAAACAAACACAACACAATTCGGATGCCCTTTCAATCAAATGCAATATCGGCAAAGTCTTGACCAGCAACACCGAAACACCGACCAACCAGTGATTTCATTTCTCTGTACAGTAGGTATCCAAGGAAACCACCCTTTAAAGAACAAGACAAAAACGGCTAGCTACTTCTAGCGGTGACTAGGATTCACTGGGCCAAACAGCACAACGCGAAAGCTGGGTGCTGGAGCCAGAAGGATCCGGGGGTGTGCTGAAAGTCGGGCTTGAAGAACCAGAAGCTGTAGTCCGTGTCCAAGTAGACCTGGGCTTCATGGAATCCCCAAAGGGATACGTACCGCAAGACGCAGCTCCCATCCCTGCGTGTCTTTTGCAAGGGACTCAGAAATGTAAGGTCAACCAGAGAGTTTGGAACCCACATGTCCTTCAATCAGCAGGAAGCCCCTCTTTAAAGCGCTAAATAAGTCGGACCCCCGCCTGTGTTGTGGACGGTTTGGTTTCCAAGCACTTCTGGGGAGGACTCCAGGCTCCATGGTTCGGAATAGGCAACACTCACACGGTTGGCCAACCACTTACCAGCAGCAAATGGCATCAACGAATACCAAAAAAGGACCGTCTATGCTGACAACAGTTTGGTCTTCCTTTCATTTCGCTTCAAATAGCAACTAAAAGGGGGCCCACCATTTTGAGAGCCCAGAACAGGGGAACTCGACCCCAAGCCATCGGCTGAGAACCTCCTACACCGCCCTGCCTCGGTGCGTGTTGGCAGCATGGAGACGAATTCCAGCACGGCTCCTGGAGCGCATCGATCCGGAGGTCTGTACGGAGAAACCGCAGGAAACCGCTTCGAAACTGGTGGTTTAAAGCGAAAATGAAAACCAAGAGTAGGAGAAACCCAAGCCATCTGTTGAATACCCATGAAACGCCCTCCCGTCCACAAACACATGGGGCACACTCGAATGGAGTTGCACTTGCAAACCAATGGTCATGCTCAACACAGTATTGCTTGGTGCCAATCGAGGACCAACAGGAACAACTCGACAACAACGGAAACCAAGGTGTGCATAATTTATCAGTTTCTGTACCACTTCAGCAGCAGGGAAAATGAAACATCTGAAGGCAACCTGCACTATCCGAAGCAAAACACAAGGCCACCTTGAGAATAAACCGTTCGGGATATGTGGCACACGTGCAGAGCTCTATGAGTCAAATCATTTCAGTGGTCTGGCAGTTGCATGGCTTCATAGCAAACATGGCAGTGAAAATACCATGCCACCCACATTGAGCATGAAACTCCCCTCCACCAACAACAGATTTGCGAACGCCCCCTTTTGAAAGACCTGCCCTGTTGAAAAGGGACGTGCGTGATTGCAGAAGGCAATCATTCTCAAGCTGAAACACGGACTCCCATGGACTTCCATTCTCGGGATCGTCCCAAAAATCGTAACTCCGTTCATCCCCTGTGCTTGCAACACGGTTCTTCAACTTAATCGAGCGGGTTCAGATAGTCCATATACTTATATTTGCTTAAGCAGCATGGGAACAAAACACAGTATTTCCAGTAGGGATGCATTCCAAAAGAAAAAAACACGGGAAAACACAAAGAGTCATTTCAGCAAACAAACATCTACTTCAGAAGTGTAACGCATGGCCAGACTGAATCCTCCGGAGCAGCTTTACGCCTTCTCTGGGCCGCGGGCGCATCAGACCCGGGAAGGACATGGAGAAGTCGTGTCCTGTCGGTACGCGGATGGAACGCGTCACAACGAGCCATGGCGAGTTCCCTTTGTGAACCAGACTTAGAGCTGTCCCTATACTTGGCGTGTTGAAAATTGGATCGGCTGCGCCAAGAGCAGCATCCAGACATTGGAAGGATCGCTCTTTGCACATACCCAGTGTGATTCAAGCCCTTCCAAGTGGCACAGGAGACATCCCGGAGACATCGCCTTTCGCTCGTTTCGCCCTCCTGCCATGATGCCGCCAGCGCGGAGCTTGGGCCACCAAGCCTTCAGGTCCTCCCAAGGGCGGGTGACTGCGGTGTGATGTGACTGTCGTGTGCCAAGGGAAACGGGAAGTCAAATTCAGAAACAGCAGGGCAAGGTGGGTGCCCCTCTGTGTTTTGTTCGCGTTTCAACTTCCTGTGGCTTGGGACCCGTCCAAATGCTTAGCGACCACGGGCCATTCTAGTGATTCAGGCGCCCATTTCGAGATGGATTCAGGCTCCCATTTCGAGATGGATACTCAACAGCTCGAACAAATCCGGTGTAGAGATTGGTTTTGATGATTTAATGGACAGTCCCACCGGACCCACACAGCTCTAAGACATTGTTCCCCAGCTGAAAGCTATGTCTGGGGACTCAAGCTCCAGAGTGGGGGCTCCATGGACCCTATGTGTTTCGGTTTCCTGAGCGGTTGCTGGGTAGAGTTCCAGAAACGTTCAGGGGTGGCTGTTGAGGATACCACCTGGGCTTATTTTGCTTCGTCTTCAAACGCAGGGAGTCTCAAAGGCTAAGGCGGTACGCAGCCTGCCAACGTTCCGAATGGCCCAAGAGGGCCTGTCATGCAAAAACGCGTGCAACATGAGGACTTTGAAGCCCTTGCTTGCCCAAAGGACTTGGAAATTCAGGCAAACATTGTGAGTCCTTGACCAAATATGGATCAAGCATGCAAAACCGGAAGGTCAACAATGTCGGCTTTGGGCAACTCTATGAGACGCAGTTGTCCCACCTAAGTCGGGCAACGTGAGAACTCAGATCCGCCATTTCGGCGAACCAGGGAACCTGCGATGGACTCGCGTGGGCCCTCAAAAGGGTACCTCCTGAGCACACGCATGCACTCAGGCCTGGAGTGCAGGGTTAGGATCGGCCATCGGCTCAAGACATATTTTCAAAATTGCTTGTCACAAGCATACCCTTTTAACCGAGAGCTAATTCATGAGTCTGCCCAACCCGTTGGATTGGCGTGTTGCATGAGGAGCGGGCCCTGCTCAACTTGAGAAAAGTCAAGCGCTGTGTCTCAAAAGCTTCAAAGGCCCTTCTCCCTGATGATGTATCGTGGGTTCGCCCTTGAACAGCGGACATTTCGAAGGTGTTGAGACACACACACACGCCCTATAAGAAGTGATCTGGGTATTAGGATGCGCTCAGCCACAGCCAGAGGTTGAGCAACAGGAACCTCAGTGAAGTTGCGTGACAACCGGCCTTCAGCGGCTAAAGTTGGTTTCTCACGAAGCACAGCTTTGGGTCGGATCCTTTGGCGCCGATATGCAGCACGAGCAGCTGAATGGATATGGCCACTAAGCCCACGAGCAGCAACTTTCCTCCAGGGCAACTTTGAAATCTCGCCCGCCCCCACCCCCCCCCCCCAGCCCCCGGCCGCCGCTTCAGGGGCGATGTAAGGTGTAAATTTGGAGCGGTTGAGGTTCCCAATCCCGAATGTGTATCCAGTCTTTCTCATAGGCACAATTGAAGCCTAAATTGGACTTCCAGGGGTCATCCCCTCCGAGTACTGCAGCTGGGAGATCGCTTCGCACCCATGTGGATTCCGCGGTGATTCCAATAGCAGAGAATAGCTTCAGGTTGTGTTCAATGAAGGCTCGGAAACAGCTCAAAACATGTTGCAAGCATCACGGAATGAATCATACCAGAACCACTGTTTGGTCTCGTAAGGAAAGGACCCGTCGGTGAGGCAACCCCGAGAAAGGGTCGGTCTGAGATGGAGTTAGGACTTAGGACAGCTCGTTTTCATGCACCCCAGAGCTATTCAAGCCCTTCTGGCCATGGTTTTCCGAACAGGCAAACATATCGCTTTTTGCAGTGCTTTCCCAGCAACGGCCATATATATCTGTTTCTCAAGTCGGTGCAACCATGGATCAGACTTTAGTTGTCGAGAAGCAAATCAATGTTTCGCTATGTTGCCGTAAACCAAAGCAAACAATCAAACACCCGAGCATCAAGCAACACCAGCTGTACCATGTAGTATGGTCCAATTGTCCCTTCTTGAGATTATCTCAAACGTGCCACGGCCCGTTTAGGGTTGCATGGTTTCCATCCGAAACTATCATAAGCAACCAACACCCATGAACAACTTCAAGAACCAACACTGGGACCTTCATGCGACTGGGATGGATCAGGCCTACTTGCTTGGTTGCGACACTGAACGGAGGCCTTGAAACGTCTTGGAGCGGCTTCGGGTAATTAGCACGGCCAAGGGGGGCAGCAGACCGTAGAGCAGCATGGTGGGAAATGCTCCTGGACTGATGCCCCAACGGGTTCTGTGGTTCAGGTGCTCTAAGGCTCCTTTTGGCAAGCCACTTAAACAAAGTGACGCCCATCATTTGTTGGCAACACACGTGTAACGTGTCCCGTTGAGCTACCCAAAAGATTGAAACGGCCAAATTTGCGGTTAAGGTCGAGCCAAAGAGCGAGTAATGGCTGGATTGAGCTTCTCTGAGCAACGTGCACTAGATAGCTTAACGCTGACTGACTTTGATTGTGGAACTTAGACCACAATTTT